ATATATCAATATAAAGCAGAAGCTCTCCAAATTCTCTCTCCTTTCCAATTTTTCATTTCCCTCTCAGTTCTCGTCACCACCCCAATACGTTATACTCACGTTTGTGTTCCGGAGATTTTACAGTAATGAAGCTCTTTTGGTCAGACTTGGCCGTTGGTGAATCTTCCCGTCTCGCCGGAACGCCCTTTATCTTAAGATTAGCAAACTGTTGTGTCTATACAAAGGTAGAACGTATACAAACGAAGATTGGACTACAAATTTTCATGATAGTTTAGATATGATAAGATGACTTCAATATATGACATTTTAGACTGCACACTAGTTATTTTAAGGAATATTTTGTTTTGCTTTTTAGTCTTTCTCTAATAATATTTGTGAAGTATTGGAATTGGTTCTTAGATAAACTGTCTTTGTGAGTGATGCCTTAGTATGTATTATTGGATTTCCATCTCTTATCTTATTTTAAAAATATAATATAAGAGTATTGGATTTTTAGTGTGGAGAAATTGTCATTGTGAGTAATGTATTAATATATATATTTTCCCATCATGTATTCAATATTTGAAGCTTATCAGGAGTGGCATTTAATGTTTTAGCTAAATTAAAACCTTATGCAATGGTCACAATAACAGCTCAATCCACTTTGTGATCTTTCATTATTCAACTTGGAATGTCCCTCATAATATCAATTATGATATGATTGAATTGTATCATCTTTGCATCCAATTCCATGGTTTTCTTCCAATCTTTAAAATGATTCAATCAGCATTATAGCAAAATGCAACTTTATAGCCTTAAGACATTGATCTTTAGCCAGGGTTTTTCTCACACTGATTTAAAAGAGTTTAGGTGATTACGATAAGATTTTATTTATAATTCGAACCTGTGGTTCAATGGTGCTTGCTGAATGTTCCACTGGTTTCTCAACGGTTGAGTTCTTCCTTTCTCCGCCGCATCCAAAGTCTTGATGAAGTTGTCCGAAAACGAGAAGTTTAGGCCCGTTTCTCGTACATGTAGTTGTGCCTCGAGGACACGACGCACGAGCGCCGGGTCGTATCCAGCCTTGACGATCGTTTGGACAGTCGGACTGTCCATGTGAGCAGAAACTGTAAAGAAAATATCAAAGACCCATGCACCAATATCATGACAACATTTGAAGGCTTTTCTTATGAAGAGATCCTTGGGATGATATTCATAATTTCTTTCAAAACCTATGGCACTCTCGTAAGGGACGAAGGTGAAATAGTTTCCTTCCGACATATTTATGGTCTGTCTTTTTTTCTTCTTTTGATGGTTTGCTTAGTTTTGGTTTGTTGGTTAACTACTACCTAGATCATCATATTGATTCATTTGTCATGAGGGATACCATGATATACTCCTTTTCATTCCATTTCAACACAATTTGTTAACCCATTAGTAAATTGTTAATTAAAGCCCGTCTGCACTAGTTTGGCCAGGAGGTAGCAAGTAGCTACAAGTAGTGCAGTTGGGCTTTAAGTGAATTATGAAGTTGAAATGTTTCTTATATTTTATTTGAGCTCCGGAATACACATCTTTAAATACAGAATTCTTTTCTGACTCGCCTGCTACTGAATCTGGTGTCTTCTGACGACCTAATGGTGAGGACTGCGTAGAAACAGCTGGGTTCTGTTTAGGTTCTCTCTTCTCTGCCTGCTCACTCGCTTTTGCATTCTTAAAGAAATCCTTAAAATGAAATAAGATAAGTTCCATGAGAATAACGGTACACGATGTCGAAAGAAAGAATATTGTTCATGAGACCAAATCCCATGAGGCCCGCGAGACCGAAATTTAAGTTCGCCTAGCTGGTACGTCACATTTTCAAGAAAATGGCTGCGCCCATGTCATCATGCCAAGACTATGATCATTTATATATCTCTTGTAAGGAATATTGCACATCAAAGGACAGGAATAACTCTCATTTTTCAGACCGGCTTCCTACACTTATTTTTTGGGGTTGACGTTATCTTTAAGATTACAATTTTACCAATGACATTGTGAGGCGCCGCCCCTGTTTGCGATGTCATTCGATTCATTCAGAAAGGAAATAAAGACATTCAGGATTACTTCAATATTCATTCGGTTTCAATCCTTTCGTTATGTGGGATCAGATAGTACATCATGATTTACAATGAACGTGTAATGGTGGTTTACAGAACGGATTATAGTATTCCTTCAATATTAGACACGCTGTTCGGAGAAAGGGAATATCAAAACTCAAAACGATTTAAGATTTCTATCGCTGTGTGATAACATTGCCATGATCTTCATTCTCACCTGTACTTCATCAACGAAATCTTTCCCTATCATTTCTTTAAGCCACTCGCACGTTGGAAAGCATCTGGCATGCTCGCTCCAGGGCTCATCATCCCCTTTCCAGTTCTCGATGCCACCCTTACAGTAGAAACATCTGGCTCTGTCACCAGGACCTGTTAGGTGGAGGAATGGTCAGAAAAAATGTGTGAGAAAGGGGCAGTCAGAGACTGGGAGGTCGGAGAGAAAGGTACACATAGAAATAGAGTAAGAGAGAAAGAGAGAGAGAGAGAGAGAGAGAAGGGGGGGGGGGGGAGAGAGAGATGGGGAGGGGGAGGGGCGGTGATAGTATGTTAAGTGACTCTCACACTCTGCCGTGTAGGTCTACCGTGTGCCACCGTGCGCGAAAATGTCTGCGGACGGTGGAGAACGGCGAGGGCACACGGTGGTTCGTTATCAAAGCGGGCAACACGTTAATAGGGCGTTGGCGCTTATTTACACCCGGTGGGACCCGGCGAAAGTTTCGGGCATGTTCAAAACTTTGGCGGCTGGCACCGGCCGCAAGTAAGCGGCAAGAGGACGGTGTTGAACGGTATGAGGACGGTATGAATACGTTATGAAAACGTCGCACTGTATGAACACGTTCACAACACGCTCATAACCCGTTACAGAACGGTGATGAAAAATTTAGAGCGGACTGACCGTTGCCGTTCAAATCGGGGTATTTATGGCAGTCGTGTCATGACGTCAGCAGTCCGGGGACTCGCTCACAGGACGCTCCGAGCGGTGAGGGGACGCTAAGTGACTGATAGGTGGCTGCTACAAACCCGGTGCACACGTTCGAGACCCGGTATGTGCCCGGTATGGAAACGGCCAAAATTTTCAACAAAAGTCAATCTGGGCGGTAAAGACGGTAGAAGCACGTTCAACACCCGGTATGCGCCCGTTGAGAACGGTCAGAAGATGGCAACGAAACGGTGAAAAGATTAATTTTATGAATTTTTTTTGCGGCTGGGGACAAGTTCGCTCAAAAACCCAACGTTCTGGACTCTGTTTTTTTTTTAATAGCCCGGCAGGTGGACGGTAGGCCTACACGGCAGAGTGTGAGAGCTCCATTAAAAGGGTTAAACCCGCATGCAATCATTATGAAATTGCTATGTATATATATAATATCATTCTTATTGTCTTGAGAAGAGGCTTCGGAAGGGGAATTTAGGGGTGTACAGCCCCCTCTATTTTTTTTTATTAGACTCGTACTATACTGCGGCATTTCGATGAGATGATAATTATATATCACGCTTCACCTCCCCCTCTCCAAAAAGAAAAATGATCTGCGACTCCCGGTAAGTTTACATTTCACATTAAGGCCTCCCTCTTACCTGTGTAGTAAAATCCAGCGTTTGCCAGCCATCTTGTTTCAGAGGAAGGTAGTTTGTATTCTTCCAACCAGTTATCTCGGAATGTGTTAAGCCGATCTAGCTCCCCACCAAATAGTGGTTGAAATGAAGCAGACAACTTTTCGTAAGAAGTTTCACAAAAAGCATCTACACAGTCGTCAGAGGTCAGGGTTTTGTGTTTGCCCCAGACGATTTCTCCATCCACTTCTTCAGTCCTTTGACCTAAACGTTTCTGCATTTCATTCCACTTTTCAATCGTGACATTTCTCTTATCTTGGTTCTTCACCATATGACAATGTGGATACATCTTTTTATGTTCATCCATTGCAGTGTCCCCTTCTTCCCACCCCTCGATTTGGCCTCCGCATGAAAAGCATTTCACTCTGTCAAATATCCCGACGTAGAAGAATCCTGCCTTTGCAAGTGAGTTTGGTTTTACTTGACATGTGTTGCTCCAAGCTTTAAACGTCTTTCTTCTTTCTACCTCAAATGTCATTTCCTTTTGATCATAACTGCGCTGAAATTTGCCACGCACTGTAAGGCATTTTCTATTATTGCTATTATAATTCGCTGACATTTTGATTGTCTGTCTTAAAAGCCTTTTAGTTAAAATCTATGATTCAGTTTCAAAGTTTTCTGCATTCAATTGGGCTGCGTTTCGAGAAATCTGTTTGTGTTTGTAATTATAAAGCATCATGGCACCTGCAGCTTTAGACAAAAAGATAAAAACCAACATTTTACCTATGGAAGTTAACCATAACGATATATAACTACAATGTAATGCATTGCATATCAAAATAGGTACAGAATCTTCCTCAGAAACGAAATTAATTATTCAGCCTTTCAAATACATATTGCTAAAGAATATTGAAATTAACAGATAACTGAAACCAAGCATAAGTGGTACAGTGAAAATAAGCATTTTCACCTTTTTCGTTATTGTTCATATTCCTATTCATATTCATATTTATTTCATTTCCAACAGAAAGGTAAACAAAGATATTATTTTTTTCCGTACATAATTATTTTTTTCAGGAAACTATACAAATAAACTTTGCACATAATAAAATTATTACAAGAAGTTTTAAATTTCTGAGGAAATGGGGGGGGGGGGGTCCCCTAAAAAGCAGTGCTTGTAGTTTGTGGATCCCCCAGAAAAAAATTAAAATGTTTCAAATTTTGCCTACGAAGACTTAGAAAACACAAGACAATATTATAAAACAACATACAATGTACAACCACGAAACGAACACGGAGAAGTAAATCAGATAAGAAGGAAAAGGGAAAAAGGGGGAAGAAGGAAGAATAAGAAGCAGGACAAATCATGACCGAAAAAAGGGTAGTTAGCATGTTAATTGTGGGAAGGTAAGATCATAAGACCAAATAAATATTCAATTAATCGAGCAGATGATGAAGACCTGAATGAAAAATTAAGATGATTTCCAACTGTTATCAGATTATTCTTGTATATTGCTATAAGATTTAAGCAAAAATGTTTTTAGATTTTTCTTGAAAGAATTTAGGGATGAACTATTTTTAATACCTTCACTTAGAGAATTCCAAAATCTAGGATTATCATACATAAAAGACTTCTTCGCTAATAAAGTTCTAAAGAGTGGTAGGTGAAACTCGTTTGACCGTCTAGTTGGGTAATCATGAAATAAACGATTTAGGAGGAACATGCATCAAATATATGTGGAAGGATCTTTTTTGAATACGTATACATAAATTGTCCTAAGTGAAGTAGATACAGGTCATTTGTTTGTAATAGTCTGCCATTAATAAAAAATAAGGGTATGTGTGTGAGAGTGGAGCAGAATAGTAAATAACACGGAGAGACTTCTTTTGTAATAATAACAGTCTATTTAGTAGAGTTTGCTGCGTGTTGCCCCAAGCAAGTATCCCATAATTCATATATGGTAAAATTAAAGATGAATAAAGCATGAGTAGGGATGATGTCGGAAAATGAAATTTAATTTATCTATTATGCCAATATTCCGTGAAACGATCTTACATGTATTATCTATATGGTATTTCCACGAAAGTTTGTTATCAACAGTTATGCCTAAAACATTAATGAATGAAACAACTTCCAAGGAGGTATCGTCAAATATGATATTCTTGGGCAGTGTGTCAATAGAATTACTAAACAACAATATATTTGGTTTTTTTGAGGTTCAAATTTTACAAACCTCGAAATTGTAAAATCGTTATCGTTGATATTATAATGCGCATTAAAGTAACATAAAACCAAACAGTAATGCAAACTATTAAACACATAATCGTAATATGAACTGCTTGTCAGGAAAACAAACCTCTTGAAATTGCAACATCATTATTTACCTTTGCCTTGTGTCATAATTACACACATATTAATGTTACAAAGGTTGTCTCAAACAGTCAGAAAACAAACACTGGAAGCACGCAAGCCATCCATACAGATAGTGTTTAAATTTATTATCAATTTTTAATCTTCAGTGTTTGGAGGGCGTCACTGTGGATGGTATTATTTCAGAACACCTGTTGGCAAAAACTACCATTGTCGTTCCCATTTTTAAAACTTTGCGTTACCTCATTCGGCGAATTTGTAAATCTGGGGACCTTTTTGATCAAGCAAACGATTTCGTAAACCTGGGCCTAACACCACTCCTTCCTTTGCAACATGTTTTAGCAATGCCCCTGTTTTTGTGCACCAGGTATTGGCAAGAAGATGTTTACCCTAGCTTGGTAATATTCCAAATGTCATAATAATGTAATCATGCTAGAAAAGGCTGGAAAATGAGTGGAAGGTGTACCATGGATAATTTGCATGAACAAGGATCTTTTTTAATTTACACTGTTTTAATCATTATTTGTATATTACCGTGAAAAATTGAATTATTTGTTTTATATCTTATTAAAGATCGTTGTTTCACTTTAGTAACGGGAGTAGGACAACACTTTACACCTCTCTCACAAGACAAACATCTTTTTCTGTCTAAGCAACCATAGGCTCACTCTTATGTAAACCATTATTTTGAAGTAGGGTGTAATTTTCGGTTGTGTTTCAAAATACACATGATTACACTTTTCAATATCACAAAAACATTTTTATTTTAAATACTTGATTTACTTCCTGGTTAAACGATCCTTAGTGTCATAGAAACTCTATCTATTAGGTATGTTATGTCTCATGAAAATAATTATAAATATACTTACATTTGCTGATGTGATTTAAACATGCAAAAGAAAGCTAAATTCCAATATCACTAAAAGGTGAATAGTTTTCCTTTTCCTTAAAGTTCAGATGATTATTCTTTTAAAATATCACGAAATATTATGTGTGAAAGGAGAAATGGGGTTTTTCGGAGGGGAGGGTGAGTTTTCTGAACGAAGTAAGTGTATCACGTTTTCTAGCTAAATTTGTTGAAAGTCCATTCGAGGTGGGCCCCTCAGGCCTCAAAATCCCCCGAAAAATGTTGCATCAACATGTTAGCGGAAACATCAAATATTGGATTCAGATACCTTTATTGTTGTTAAAGGACAATAAGGAGTGTTATAGCAGGTATATGCCTTTCAAGCCACAAAGCCAAAAGTAAAAAAAAAAGACAATCGCCGTTTCCCATCACACGCCCAGTAATAAGTCCGTAGTTTTAGACACATGTATAGACGAGGAACGTCGCTAAAGTCCTCGTGAACATACATGTATGAGTTTCAACACACATGACACAATAATTTACAATATATATACTTTTTGCAAAGGTTTTTAACGAATAGATCATAAGACTTACCTTTCACACCAGAGAGGTGGCCGGTGCAGCGGATTTTTGCTAAACGTAGAACGTGCGAGAAGATCGTATCAAAATTATTTAACCCACTAGGGTTCGCAGTTCAAAATTAGTGTTACGTACGTGCGCGTCGAAATAAGTGAGGCCTTTCCTATCGACACGGTTATAACAGGTGATTGAGGTACTCAGATTTGGGTGGGATTAAAGAAGAAGTTGCTCTTAAAGGATAAGTCCACTCCAAAGTCCACAGCAGAACTTAGCATGTGATGGCACCTTGAATTTTTCTCCTGTTGAGCAAAAGTCACACTTGCCAGGTAATAAAGGCGTGCCGTTTCCATTTCTGTTTGTTTCTGGAATCCAATTTGTCTTCCAATATAAATTCGGAATATATACAAATTGTTGCATAAAATTTGCACCGCCGCTGAATAAGCGGGGGGGGGGGGGAGGGGTAAGAGGACATATATTTTGTTATTTTTGGTCCCCAAAAATTCGAAACGGCTCAGCCGGTCGTTGAATAAGCGGGGTGGGGGGGGGGGGGGTAAGGTCAGCTATTTTGGGTCACCCATTACCACATTTTTTTTCTTCTTATTAAAAACAAACTAAAGGGGGGGGGGTTTCCTCCAAAACACACACATACACAAAAAATTAAAGGGGGGAGGGTTTCACCCCCTAACCCCCCCCCCCCCCCCCCCCCTGCGTACACGCCTGGGTCTACGATATCTGACTTGTTACCTGGATCAAAAGGGAAGATATATATTATAAAGATGAGAAGGATTCTTTCTAATCGTATCAGGACAATTACCCTTGGGCAATCACCCCCGGAAAATTACCCCTTTTATTAAAACCAACTTATTAGCAGGGTAACAGGGTTGTAATTTTCCGGGGGCTCCTCTCAGATTTTAATAGAGGCAATTATCATCGATTCATCGGTGAAGGGGGCACTTATCAAAGGTAGTAAGAGGCCCTTATAAGAATGAGAAACGGGCACCTATTAGAAATAAAAATGGTCATTTATCTGAAGTAAAAAGGGGGAACTTTCCTTTATATATAAGGGGCAATTTAGGGGTATTTTAAAAAGTGAGGGGCACTGTGTCCCCTAGGCCCCACCCCCGGCTACGCCGCTTATGGACCGGGAAAATAATTTTTAAGCGCAAAGAGTGCCACGATGTGACGGACATGACCTGTGCGCTAAAAAAGCAGTATCCACTGGTTTTGTTATTCCATCTTTCTAATCCAATTTCGCCATCACTTTTCTATCCATCAGTTGAATTCTGCATAATCATTACATTTTCGAAAAGTATATTCATAAATACCCAACTGTTTCTATCATTTTTCTTTCACTTATGTTTCTGGCATCCTTTCCTCTCTCTATCCCGCCATCCCTTACCTCTCACGTTCTCTCTCTCTCTCTCTCTCTCTCTCTCTCTCTTTCTCTCTCACACACACGCACACATAGTGCACATATACACACACACACAATCTTCCGCGGACAGGGAGGCCGAGTCAGAGGGGGAGAAAATCGAATTTTCAAAGTCATTTCGTGCGATTTGGTGTATAATTTTTGCCAGGATATCAGTTAAAATCTTTGACTTTTTCCAGCATACATTTGTGATGACCCCCTAGTTTGTCCTGCCATGCGCTCCTAGTATCCCCCCTTCCCCTCTCTTTCTGTCTCTCTCTCCCTATCTCTCCCCTCTCTCTGTTCTACCTCTGCTGCCGGTCGGCTTTATTTCTTTCCCCATCCCTTCTATGTTCCCTGCTTAATCTTTTATCAAATAGTTTTTATCAAATACATGATCACACGATCCCACGATCTATATTGACATTAACAATGGCCGCCAATTTGGAACTCCCAGGTCATTGAAGCATCAATACTTTATTGTTCATATTCAACATGAGTAATACAAAAATTAACATGGCAAGCTGCCAAATGTGTTTAGCTTGTGCGTGGTAGGGGGCTGTGTTCTCTTAATTACAATTATCTATTAACATTTTTTTATATTTTTTTCATGAAAATATAATAATAGCTATTTGTTTATACAATTTAATGACAATGAAATTACTGAGTAAATAGACAAAGAGAAATCATGATTTATAATTTTTAATTTTTACTACTTAACTAGCTTTTTTCGAGCACATTTGAATATCGCCTCTCTCTCCCTTTTCTTGCTATACATGCTATATATTGTTGCAAGATTCTTTGAAGAACAACTACCAGAAATTTGATTAATAATAGGATACGATAATAGTAATTCAAAGTCTTGATGGTGTTTAAATTAATAATTCAATATCGTTCATGAGGTCAACATTTTACAACTGAAACCCTTCAATATGATCATGATTATCACTTGGCTGCGATAAAAGAAAAGAAAACACAATGCACAAACCGGTCCAAAAGTGTCGATGAATCTTTATCTGTCTATTTCATTGACCCTTCATGTTGCGTCTGGTTTTGATTGTAAAGGTATTTCTGAAATCTTTACATTTAAGGCGTAACTTCTAGCCGATATGATTTGGTCAACATTTAAAGAAACAACTGCATTTTTACTTTGAATATACAAAGTTTTAAATGTGATTTACGGGACAATAATTTTACCTTGTGAATCAATGAAAATATCATTTTCTTAATACGTGCATAAAGGTTTATAAATACAAAACATTTTATAGGGCAGGGACAATGAGCGATGTATACTGTGTCCCCCTACTCTAAACATCCAATAATTGAACATTTCAATATATGTACAGGTTTGTTTAATGTTACAAGCAATTTTGTATTAGGCAACGATACATGAAATTATTTCAAACGAAGTCATAGAGAAAAGTATACTAGTAATGTATATAAGTAGGGTAAAAGTATTAGTATTTATATGACACAAATGCATTCGAATAGTTGAATAGTATCGTGATTATATTTGCTTAAAGATATAGTTGAGTTCTGGTAATGTGATTGCATTGTAAAAGAAATTGTGTGGAAGCGATTGGAAAAGGTAGATCATGTAGCACATACGTATTGTTATACAACCTAGAGGGTTGCAGTCACCAAAATGATATTAATTCGTTTTTACACAGAAACATGTATATGGGACTACACAAAAATGTGATATGTGATTTGGCCCACAACAGTTCAGCGATTTCATGTCATATTTTGAATATGAGGGCATTTGAAGAGCCATCCTGAACAGCCTGGGGACATGATACCCTTTCACACAACATAAAAAGAGTGAAAACGCTCACAAATTATTTTTCACCTTTCACAGAACTCAACTTTCTCTTTAACCACATCGTTTTGAGAATAGTTACTGTTGTTTAATACGCCTATTGCATTCTTTATACTTTAAATGTGGCACTACATTCAACAAAATATACCAGTAACCGTTATTTATCATTTTGCAGGTCACCTTTTAATATGTTTTTTTTCTTCATATCATTCTTTGTCTAAACGCACGATTATGCAAAATATATATATATATAGCTTGACTAAAATATGTTTACTGTAAGTGATTATGGAAAACACAAACACCAGAGTAAAGGATGTACCAAATATAATGATAAAAAGAACTTGACTGCATTTATTTTGAAGTGATGTTGTATATGCAATGCATACGCAGAATACCGCATTCATCGGCGCTCGCGTAAACGTCTCCAGTAATACATTACAGTTCATTCTTTAGTATCTATGCTTACTTACTAGTAGGATTCCAACTTCTTTACAATTTGTATGTACATAATTTATCATAAGGTTACCGTATAGATCGATTTATATATTTCCATGAATTGTTTGTAGTACAAGTAAAAGGGAAGTAGAAAGATCATACCTAATGAAAAAGTTTGTTTCAGTGTCTTCATTTTCAATTCATAGGAAAGATTCGTTTAGTTTTGTTACATTACAGACACCATCAAATGATACAAAAATTGAAATGAAAATGGCGGAAGTCAATCAAAATGATCAAATCCCGGGAAAAAATATCGAATCCCATCCAGGCCTCCCATACTGTCTCAGTGGGGAAAAGGGGTTGGATTTTTTAATAATTATTATTCTTATCATTTATTTGTATTTTTTACTTTTTGCTCTTAAAAAGCACTGAGGGAGGGGCCCCACTAATCCGCCTATGGGCTTTAAGTACTCTTATTAAAAAGAAGTGAATTAAATTGAATTAAGGATTGGATAGGCACACGTATGCAAAAAGCGCCATTATAGGGAGCATAACGGTAGGCCGGTCAAAACTCTGACCACATCCAGAATATGAAGTACTTTCAGAGGAAGGCTGACTATTTTTCTCTTCCATGTTCGGTGCCATTTTAGTATGAATCTCATGGACTGGCGGGACTGGACTATTTGCTGGTTCGATCCAGGGATGTCTATATTGGTCACATGACGTTTGGGTAATAGTTTTTATTTCCTTGATATCATGAGAACAACAAGACACAGGGATATCTGTATCCATGAGCCAAAATACTCGGCTATATACTATTTGTGTATGAGCGCTAGGGCTTTGATACGGTATTTTGTTATCATTTTGAAAGCAAGTGAGGGTTGAATTGCCATTTCCAGGTTTGGAATGACAGTGTACCTCGTACGTTATTTCTGTTTCACTGGGCATTAAAAAGCAAACTGCTGGACTGGGAGGGATAAATATTAGAACAATTCTTTTCATTAAATGATAATGTGTCTCCCCTTGGATAAAGAGGACAACAATGTAGGTCCCCTGATCTTCGATGGACACGGATGCAACGTTGATTTCGACGGACATAGAACTACCCTCTTCAAAATGCTCCACTCTAAATCTTTCGGCCTGATCGGGTGACATAAGTCCATCTAGGTCGAAAGATCCTTTGGAGTAAAATGGGCGATCTTTCTCCTCGAACTTGATCTTGTAGAACTTGAGCGGAGACTGCTGTTCGTTCCTGCAGGTAAACGGAATAATCCCGTTTCTTCCTGCTGTCAGTGTCAAGGGCTGTTCCTCTGTGGCGATTGGAGATGCCTCTGTCTGCCCCGTAAGGACAGAAACTACCAGAATAATCCGGATCGGGAGTCTAATGCAGGACATATTCCTTCGTCTAGGTATCTTCTGTGTCATAATTATGTAAAGAAGAAAAACTAGGCGGGTGAGAGAAGGGCAGTAATTTTGAATGCCCATTCCAACAAAAACGCAATATGTAAAAGGAATACTCAGCCTTATTTAAAGGGAAAGGACTTTCATAATCCTGTCGATTTGTGATCGTTAAGTTTAAGATATAAACTTGGGCAGGGGTTATTATGTCCTTCATTTTTTTTTACAGGATACTCTCTCTTTTCTTGCTTTCTAAGAACTATGTTATTGTTGAATTATGCCAAATGCTATTAAGCATATAAAAATACCTTTTTCGAACCGGGAGGATGCAGCCATTCAACTTCCATTAACTTTCTGATCAGAGATGTAATCGCGATAATATATTTCAAGACAGCATCCAGTCTCGGAAAGAAACCCTGTAATTTTTCGGGATAGAATGCAAATATTTTTAATCAATTAAATGACACCAAACTTAAAGTAAAAGATAATGGTTTAAACATGATCATTATTTGTATGTTTAAGATTGATAAGTTTGTAAGATATATGGACAAAATATATTCATTTTAATTTGGGTTTTCGGGGTGTAATTGTTTGGTTGGTTAGGTTTTGGAAACAGTTTAGTAGTCTTCTTATTAAAAACAGAATTCATAAGTAGTTCAACCTAATTTTGGACAACAGGATATTTAACAATTCAGTATGATGCATCTTTCTCCACTCATGTTGGAATGTGTTTGTATGTATGATTTCCGCATGGTTTTTACAAATACAAGAGTAACATCCAAATATGTTCTTACATATTTCTCCTGTTCAGGGTAGCATCCCGACTGTGAAAAACAAGATTTATGGATAGATAATAATGTTATATAAACAGGTATGTCAACATTCTTACGTGCGTAGGAGATTTTATATCTAGCATTAATGTGTCCTTTAAAAAAACAAAAAGGAAGATTTTTGACAAAATTCTTAAAAGTCAAAACATTCCCCCCCCCCCATCCGAAAAAACCCAATAGATAATAATAATAAAAGCGTTTTTACTCTGCTTGTCAAATTTGTTTATCAACATTCCATGATTTTAGGGATATTTACCATCCATAGACTAACTTTATGCTATAGATGTTTTTGTTTGATTTGTTTGTTTGTTTGTTTATTTGTTCGAATATCATTTTGCTATGCCTGAAATATGCATTACACCTTCGACGAAAGTTTATGTAAAGTAAACATAAAAACATGACAGTTCTGCTAGAATAAAGAACTTACCGTGTATCGAGAGTAAGGAGTGGTGAGTTCGAAGTAGTAACCTCCCTCTTTAAGCGATCCATTTTCTACATCTTCAAATGCTGTTTTCACAGTAATAAGCATCTGTTTGATCAAATGGATACAAACGCCTTATAGTTTGAAATACAGAGTACAAAGCATAAGTCTATTCACACGATATTTACACGATATTAACACATCATATTCTACGAAAATACTATATCAACGATCGCGAAGATTTAAAAAGAAAATCAATCCGACAAAGACAATTTCCATACCCGACATAAAAATTGCATTACCTGTAGAAATATTGTCTGGATGATATAATTTTCTCAGATTTAAAAATAATGTCAGGGTATTTTTTGAAAAACTTTGCAATCCTATTTTAGGCAATGGAGAAGCAAAATCAGTAAAGAACAAATATAGCTATCGGATGCATAGTATATAACGCTATTAAGATTATCATAATAATCTATTCTCTTTAAAAACCATTGCGATTCATTTTTAGGCAATGGAAAATTAATTAAGTATAAAACACGAATAGCTATTGGATGCATAATAATTATACCGCTATCAAGATTATCATAATAATTAACTGAAACAGCAAAACCCTGTCAAATATCAAATTTGCTGCAAAAATCTAAAATAAACAAATGTTCAAATAACATTCAATAATGTATGCTAAAAGAGATGTAGAATAAGGAGATGGGGAGGGGGAGTAATACATGACTGCACAAATAAATAGAAACCGTGAACGCTCCACACAGAAACCTGCGAATCGCACTGGTTGGAGACTTGTAAATATAAACCGAGTTATACAATACATTATTTTTTGTTTAATTGGGGTTAGAGTCTAAGACTGATGACTGAGATTAAAAAGATCGAATGAATCACTCATATAAAAGTGTATAGTTGTAAAATCTCTTTTTAGGCGAAACAATCATATCGGAAAACTAAAATAATCGGAAATGAAATGATGCCACAATGATTCCAGTCATTAAAAATACATTTTACGATATGAGCTAAACTAAAATAAACCTTAAAACAAGTGGGGTAAAACACATTTGTTAGGACCGTGAATTAATTGGTATTACTCACCTGTTTATTGAATTCGGTTGTGGTGAACTTGAAATAATAGTCACTAGCCGTCATACGTCCGTCCTCTACAGCCTTGCACACGGACTCGAGCGCCCCCAGCATTGCCTAAAGAACAAAACAAATAAAGGGTTGGTTAATAACCTTATTTCTTTCAAAACATGTCTTTTGTGCAGGAATTTTCAAAGATGAATTACCGTGTAGGCGCTATATGTATATATACATTGATATGTTTTCTCTGATATATTGTACATTCATCAATCGGAAATTTACAAAAATGTATCACAAAAATGTATTTACGAAGTGTGCACACAGAAAAAATACAGCCTTTAAATGAGGCATCCCTAAATTAATTATGGGCCTCTTGCATCTGGGGATGGATATTTTGCGGATTCAGAAATAAGTCCCAAAACCCTTGCTTCATGAGATTTGACTCTCACGTTACATTTCGTCATGTCTTTGTTTATTACATTTGTTCTTCAATATTTTATTTGAAACTGTTTTTTTTTATTAGACTTGAAAAGAACTGTTGGATGACAGATATATCTTTAATTCAATTGAATAATATCATTCTCTTAACAGGCGAATAATGTTTCAAAAGAAGAGCCATTGAACCAAAAGCTCTTTAATATGACTATTACAAAAAAGTCACATTTTATATACTAAATTTAAACTGTCACAAATACAATTACTAATATTATTAGTGTTATTATTATCATCATAATTGTGATAATTGCTTTTGTTGTTGTTGCTGTAATTGTCTTTGTTATTATCATTATTATTTCATTATTATTATTATTGTTATTAGAACTATAATTATTTTATTATTATCATTATTGTTATTCTTATTATCATCATGACTTGGATTACTTTCACTATCATCATAGGTGCAGATTTGACCAAGGGAGGATAGCCTATGTAATCAATTCCCCTAATTGTATGCGTATGTTTTTGATTGAATGCTCACCGTAAAGGCCTAAAAGTATTAACCAAATAGCACGAGTTCATTTCCATAAATCTTAAAAATTTCAGCTTCAGAGGGGGTCATATCCCCCTCATCCCCCTTGCGCGGCCGACGCGGCAGCTGGGGCGGCGGAGCGACCACCAAAGTGGAGGGAGTGGCACCCCTAAAAGGGCACCTACAAAGGGAAATCTCAAAGCGAAAATATTTTTTTAGACATTGGTATATACCTCTACATTGTGATTACATTATCAGGGACTTTTTAAATATTTGATTCACTTTACACATTATACAATATATCGCTTAAGCATCGTAATTTGCAGCTGGTGTGATCGTCTGATTATTTATTTGCGAGCGAGCGAAGCGATTGAGAAACAAATTAGGATTTTTGAGGTCGCATTGCAAAAAACTACATCTTATAAAAAGGAAAATCCCCAATCCTGATGGGGTTATAAGCACATTCTCATAACGGAAGACCGAAAAGACCTTTGATAAGTAACAAATAATCATATCGGCTATAAATGCGAGCGATCGTAATGAGGGAGCTTTGGGGGAAATACTCTTAGTCGCTTTAAATTAGGGGCACGTTAATTGATGAAAGAAAAAGGGGACATTTATTGAAAAGGATAAAGACGCTTGTTATAAAAGAAAAGGAGCACGTGAAAAAAGTACAAAGGATAATTATCAGAAATGAAAATGGGGCACTCACCAGAGATATAGAAGAGCACTAATGAGAACGGGAAATGGGCATTTGTCGACGGGAAAAGGGACACCCATTGGATTTTGATAGAGGCATTTATCAGAGGTGAAAAGGGGCACGTATCATTGTTAAAAGGGAAATTACCACAGCTGAAAAGGGGCACTGACTAGATATGAAAAGGGGCACTTATAAAAAAAAAAGAGACAAATTTTCATTTGTTAATGAAAAAGGGGATAGGGCCCTTATCAGAAAGGTAAAGGGGCACGCATCATTGTTAAAAGCGAAATTATCAGAGCTGAAAAGGGGCACTTACTAGATATGAAAAGGGGTACTTATAAAAATGGAAAATTTGCATTTGTTGACAAAAAAGGAGCGCCGATCAGATTTTAATACGGGCATTTTTTAAAGGTGAAAAGGGTTTTTTTATGAAAAAGGTGGAAGTGACTGTTATCAAAAGAAGAAGAGGTACATGTTAAAATAAAAGGCGCATTTATTAGAGATGAAAAGGGGTAATTATGAGAAGGTGAAGAAGCACTTAAAAGAGGGGAAAAGACCATTTATAGAAAGAAAGAGTGGGACGTTTATAAAATTAAAGGGGCACTCATCAGAGATGATAGAGCACTTATCAGGAGGGGAAGGAGCCCTTGTCAAAGTAAACGAGCATCTCTCCGATTTGAATAGGGGCAATTATCGGAGGTAAAGAGCGCGCTTATCTGAAGTGAATATGATTAACTACTCTTTAACTGGAAGGGTCATTTACCAGAGATGAAAAGGGGCGTTCATGAGAATGAAAAGGGACACTTTTCATAGATGAAATGGGCTTTTATGAGAAGGGAAATTGGCTCCTTTTAAATTTAACTTATCTTAAGGAAAATGGGCATTTTTATTAGAAAGGAAAGGGAGCACATGTGTCAATAAAAAGGCGCTTATCCGAGCTACAAATGAGTAGCACTAAAAAGGGGGGAAGGGCTCTTCTTACAAAGTAAAAGAGGCAATGTCAGAGTAAGAGCTTAACATTTTACCAACTTTCTTGACATGCTACATCTAAACAATACACAAATAAACATTAATAGCGAATCGTTGCTTCCATTACATGATTATTTACCTTTTCTCCAACGGACAGAATGCCGTATTCGTCATGCTGTGTGCTTTCTTCCTTAGGTATACGCCCCATATCGCTCTTTACTGCCAATGAAGACAGAATAAAAAGAATCAACTTAAAATGTACAGTGCGTCCCAGAAAAAAACGAAACCGAGAAGTATCGATGTTTCATCATAACTTAAACATCATAACATAACATAATCTATAAATTAAACTTAAACTATAATTAACAAATGACACTTATAGCAAAGCTTAGATCCTCTTCTTTCATTTGATGCTAGTCGTATGATGCATATTTCACGCATGAGTCATTGGGCGGGCGGTATTAAGTTATGATGAAATATCGATACTTCTCGGTTTCGTTTTTTCTGGGACGCACTGTACAGTGTGAGTCAAAAAAAAGTTTACACCTAGAAACTTGCTAATTATTTCACAAATCATCTATGAACAGTAAATAATTATACATCTCATGAAAGAGCGTTCATCCCAAATCATTTGGTATCATTTTGTGTGGTATGTGTTCACGCTCGGATGAATAGGAGGCATTGTTTGCGAGAGTGCAAAAATCGATTCGCGCCAAAGTTGCTTGTGTTTGAATAAAACAATTGGGATTTGGGAATTAATTCGGTCTTTGCAGATCGAAATAACATCCCTAACAAAATTAATTATGCCACACATATCAAATATCGAATATCAAATATCAAAGAACATTTTGTGCGCGCGTGTGTGTGTGTGTGTGTGTGTGTGACTTTGCTTCTTCAAAAAGCTTATGCAATGCATTTCATCTGATACATTCAATTCATTCTCTCACTCCGCTAATCCCAACATACATGTAATACATGCTGTAGGCATCACTTTGGCGAAAGTCGATTTGCGCACTCTCGCAAACAATGCCTCATGTTCATCCAAGCGTGAACACATACCACACGAAAATGATACCAAATGATTTGGGATAAAACACTCTTTCATAAGATGTATAATAATTTACTGCTCATAGATGATTCTTAAAATAATAAGCAATTTTCTAGGTGTAAACTTGTTTGTTTGACTCACACGGTATAAATGAAGGTTTTATCACACCAACGTTAATGATGGACGAATGAATAACATAACAATAAAGGTGCAGTTGTAGTGACCATGAGTGGCGTATCGAGATATTGGTATCGGAGGGGCACTAGAGCTTACGACATTAGATATAGTTGAGTACGGGGACTGAACCCCCCCCCCCCCCCCCGAGGAAAAAAAGACCACGAAAAAGCCGCTTAAATTCACTATTTTACTCTTTAACATACATTTTGAATGTCTCTAATAATTTTTGAGTTTCCACAAGCAATTTTATATCAAAAATGATTCCCTAACCTTATTTAAATACTAAAAGCATATTTCTGTTTCGTTTTAGTCCAAATTTTGTTAGGAGGAGGAACCTCCCCCCCCCCCCCCCTTTCCAGCCCTTTACTTCAAATGCATTAGTAATCGCGATCATTTCATATATGTTACGTTCCTTTAATTCACTGATATCGAACAGCAATAGCCAATTTTGAAAATTCACTGCTCTGGACGGATACAATACCTCATTTATTGTTCTTTGTGGAAAAAAAAGTATTTTAATCACGCATAAAGATGCCTGAAAAATAAATATCGTTGAAATTTGTAAGCCAATTGATGTTGGCTCGGGCGAACTCGCTATGGAGATTTTGTGCTGATATAACCACTAGCCGTTCGATAAGTTTGCTTAAAGACAGGTCCAATTTGTGTTCTTAGTGTTAGTTGATAAAACTTAAATGCATATTTTGAATGGGCCGAATGTATCGAAGTTTGTCCACCGTTTATGTGTTTAATCTAGCTCCTCTCCTTGTTTTATTCAAAGCCACAGCATATTTTGATTTATTAAATTTGTAATCAAAACATGCCCTATTAAAAAAAAAATTCGGCCGAACATAGTAGAACCAAAAAATAATCATCGTGCATAAAAACTCATTGATAAGATATTTACCTTCTGGTTATTGTCCTTACGATTGGAACACAAGTGAAATGGCTTCGTTAACAGTGCAGCTAGGGTACCTATCGTTTAAGTGAACAAACCAGGGTTATTCAATATCTCTATCCTAAAAAGCAGCTTTATTTATGACCGCCTTGATTGTCAGCAATGATGTCGTCGCAATAAAGGTAAACAATGGTGTGTTCACGTGATGTAAAGCCTGGGATTTAATTGGTTTTCCGTCATTCTTCCTTGCAATTGTATGCAAATTTACTAAAGGTCACGAGTCAATAAAGGTCTGATTGCGTGCTCGATGACATACCCTTATCAGCTCAAAATTTAATAGAATTCTTGATCTTGAGTCGTTCCAGTCTACAATAATTATTCTAGTCTACAATAATCAATTTCGTGGCCAAGATTCTGTAATGAACGCTATCACATATTATGCATGATTCTAGTGTATTTTTCCTCAAAAATTAAGTAAATATACACAGCGAGTACCTCTAACTCTCAAATGAACTAAAAATGCACAATCGTTTATATACACTAGTATGCTATTACTTCTAACGTCACCTTATTTCTCTCACTTGACTGTCATTCTGACCTCTTTCTCTCTCTCCCCCTCTCTCTCTATCTACCTCTGTATCTCATTCGTACGATCTTCTCTCGTTTTCGTCTTTACATCACTCCTCGTACTCCCTTCTCTCTGTCTCATAATTTCCCGCATAATTTATTTATCTTTCTCTCTCCTTTTCTCCACTCCTCCCTATTATGTGAGTTGGTATAATGTAACGTTGCATGGTAAGCTCTCGGTCTTCGCCTAGAAATTGACTCAGGCGAACCCCGGTTTGAAAATTGAGTCACGTCTGTCGGATGGTGACGGAAAAGGTTAGTCCCCAGACGTAAATCTGATTGATACACGTCTGTTAAACTCCAAATACACACGCACATACACACGCATACAACACAGGTCCACGACCACACATACTCTTTTTCTATTTTCTTTATATCAAAGGTACACCCAACACCAATGCGCGAGACAAAGGAATATCTCCATTCATCCTATTATGATCATGACTTAGGTCAAACAGTCTATTAGTGCCAACAGAGATTACACATTACAATACGGTTTTCTTTAAAATGCAGATATTTCCCTCATATTGCAAAATTCATTTAACAATGAAACATGGTAGCAGAAACATACTTACTTTTATTTTGCAAAGGTTTTACGTATGACTTGCAGAGGCTAGTCTGATTCGTGTATATGCTTGTGGCTGTTATTCTGTATTTTGTTTTGTAGTTTTGATTTTAGAGGTAATGCGCAAAGTAAATATTTGACACTCCTTTTCTGAAGGACCACGTGACAAAATCACCGGCACTGATTGGTTCATTGCTCCATTTCCACTCGTCTTTCTTTTTTTTGTTATCTCATCAATATCGTCCAACCACATTCTTCCTCAACTCCGTCAGTCTGTCCTCTCCTCTCGGCCTCAATCCCACTCCCCCCCTCTCTCTCTCTCTCTCTCTATCATCATCATCCTTATCATCATCATCATCATCATCATCACCATCATCATCATCATCATCACCATCATCATCATCATCATCATCTTAATCATCATTTAGCAAACATTAGGCCTACGCTCTCCGCTTTATCTCAAGTCTATAGTTTGATAATGTTCTTCAATTTCGTGTTTATTGTAGTCTGCTCTCTGTTCAATGTTTTCAGTCCATCTTTGTCGATCTTTTACACTTTTATTTATTCATTTTTTAGCACTGACGAATCATCTGTGATACTAGTGATATCAGTTCTGGCACCATCATGGATGTGACTACTATTTCGCCACTCTTGTATTCAAATGGTTGATGTTCAATGTCCATGTGTATTCATCTATTTACACAGTTTATGCTGATAAAGATTTTTAATAAATCAACACGGTTTACGAGATTACTGTTTAAAGGCTCCTCTCTCTGTCTACGTGCCATGTCCTGAGACATTGGGGACCATGGAGTGCCAAAACTTTATGTCCCATAGTTTATGAAGTAATTTATTCTCCCCGAGATCGATTCCACTTTCAGAAATCCTACTCCTTAAGCTACTCATCCACATAAACCTCCTTTTACCCGTACTCATCCTCCCCTCAATTCTTCCAGGCGGTGCAAGATTTTCCAAACGATTCTTTCGTATAACATGTCCCAAGAAGCTCAGCTGTCGAACTCTTATAATATTCAAAAGCTTCCGACTTGTTTCTGATATTGTACATACCTGATTATTGGAAACTCTTTCTGTCCATCAAATTCTAAGCATCCTTCTCAGGAACCAAACTTCACAACTTTAAAGTCGCTTTCTTAGGTCTGATGTCAGGGTCCAAGCTTCACATCCATACATCAGAACTTGATACATCTAGTTTTAGATTAAAGGTCTACATACCTATTTTCATCACGTTTATTTTGTATTCATTATGCAATAATACACATGCATTGCGAACAGCATTCTAATAGTTAGTCATTGTAATGTTTTAAACATTTTAAAGCATTATTTAGTGGATTTTAACTGCGATGAATCGTCATTTCTTACAAACATGTATACAAATTGCATATCTGACATGTTCAATTCATGAGATCTGTTACACGAGATTCGAAATCCAGTCATCTGAAGAAAGATTTCTCTTTATAAAGCCATTGGTTTCATGATTCCTCCTCTTAGCCTGCATATCGATTTTCTTGGCTCTGTCTCAACGTCGGCTTAAATGCACTTTTTATTGCTATTAGTTTGTGAGATTATGTCGAAACCTGAATATATAAATATATATCTATACTTGTGTAATCAACAGTATTCCTGTTTGTTTGCGATCAGTAAGCAAGGTGATAAAAACATGAAGGAAAAGTGTTCATGCATCCAGTGAATCTCCGGGTCTGTACGTAGGCCTACTATATAGAGGGGGAGGGGGGGGGGGGGGTGTTAGTTCGTTCATATCATGTAACAACAAGAAAATCAAAATCATCTTCTGTAATATGTACATTATCAACAGCAATATTACGAACCTAAATTTTGAAACAATAAGAGATCCCACCAACAAAATACCTTGAAGTTCTTACGGTGAAAATTAGGGCCATTCCAACGTTGACCTTGTATGCATTTATTTCATCCAAAAAATAAAATTTCTTGATAAACTATTGGTTAATAGTTTTTCTCATATTCCTACCATTAGTCTTGTCATATCAGGGCTTTTTAATTTTTAAATGAATGTCATTGCAAGGAATCGCCAATCGTTTTACTTAACTGAAGTTGACTTTAAACTTCACTATTCTATAGAGTCGAACCAAAACTTTATCATTCTATGTTGAAAAAAAGAGAGAAGGAAACACTTCCGCCATAATAATCAATATCAGTATCAGGAGTGTAACGTTTTCCTGGTGTACGTTGTTTAATTATCATTTTTCAAAATCATCATTGCGTGCAGAATTAGGAGTAAAGTTCAAGTAGCACTTGCAGTATCATGTGACTCTGAGGCGCCTAGATTCGAGGTTTTTATCACAAAGTAAATATGTGCATATTTCAGTTTGACACCGTAATGATGAGTAGAAAACATAAGATTAGAATCTTGCACTTAAGAAATATTTATAATGTCCTATATACTTTGCCGTCATTTCAAAAAGAGTAAGCATACTCGATTAAAATATACAACACAGTATTTGCAATATTTTTTTGTCAACGTCTATGCAAGAAATAGTGATGGCACTTTCGGATTTATAGGTCCATCCGCGACCCCCCCCCCAACCATATAGAGTAAAAATGTTATGATATAAAATAGCAACAAGAATGTGTTTTTAAAAAAGGTGCAAATAATATATAGAAAGCGGGGTGGTGTAGTCTCAACCCATGGCAAAAGGCTTTTTGATATCACATCTCGTTTGGATTCATTGTTTTAATGAAATTGTAGTTCCAAGTATCGAAGACGATATTTGAATTATCGTATTATCGCCTGATATTATTGCCACCAATTAGGACTATTGTTAATTCTTTACTTGTCCAAATTATGCTTAAAAAAGAATAGTTCCAACAAATTCTTTTCACGATTCTTATTAGGTGGTCTGTCGTCTACGACAGATCACCTATTGTTTTCGTCAGAATTTTCTATATTTAGTTATTTATTTATTTTTATTTATTCTTTCGCTTTGGTTGTTCCTAGGATAACTCAAGATCGGTTCAGTCAATTTATTTCAATTTTGGCACAGTTGTAGGTCATTGTCATGAAACGTGACAGGAACATTTTCAAGGTCATCAAGTCTTCATGACGTCATCCAGCCGCCATTTTGTAAAATCACATTATCCATCATATCTTCATGACGCGTCGTCAAAGGTCATTCATATTGATATCACATATACTTCAGGTCAAGGGTCAACAGGTCATGTCATCAAAGGTCACATAAAGGTCATGACGCGCGTGTACGTTCACGTTGAAATTTTAAAATGCTCAAAAGCACTTAACTATTGAACGAGAGTACGAATCAGGTCATTTTAAGCATTTTCGCGCGTTATAGAATTGTGCAACATACAATCCCCGAATTTTCTCTGTCATCATATTTCCAAGCATTTTGATACGTTGTTCATCTTTTTCTGACCATTAATAACGGAATGAGCGTCCGTTTAATATACATGTCATACTATGTAATACATAGCATATATGGGAAAAAACATGCCTATACAAAAATTTATTGTAGCTCTTTAAGATGCCTGTTGACTTCTATTTTTATTTTCATATTTGGATAAATCGTAGATATATGCTTTCATGTCTCATTTGACCCTCAATGAACTCATGACGTCATCATAATGGCCTCTGAACTCAAAATTTATATTTGCATATTATGACGTCAGCATATTTTTAGAAAATTGATTGTATCTCTGTAAATATTGATCGATTTTCCTCCAAATTTGGATATGTTCTAGCTGAGACAATTCTTTACGAGTACAGTATCACGAATTTTTATTTTGACAAAGGCATCATGGCGTATTTTTGCGATTAAAGGAGGCATGTCAATTTTTTCTCATTTTGCGTGTATTCTCTATGGGACATGACTTTTTTTCAAAACTGGATTCTACATTCCCGTCTTTCGCGAGCAATATCATCATGATTATCATTGTTTACATGTCTATATAACTTCTCCCTTTCTCTACATAGTTTCTGCTTGGTTTTTGTTGATTTTGAGTATGTTGTAGCTGAGACTATATGCTATCTAAATGTCCCCTCATTTTTTTCAATCAGATGTCAGGATCAAGCTCATGATCATGATCATCATCATCATCATCATGGTCTGATGATCATCATCATCAACATCATCATGATCATGATCATTATCATCAATATCATTAACATTATCGTTATTATCATCATCTAACATTATCATTATCGTCATCATCATCATCACCATTACTATCATGATCATCATCATGTTTATCATGATCATCATTGTTTACATGTCTATATAATTTCTCCCATTCTCAAATCTATCATAAGAAGTGGAGACAGACCACCTAATTCGTTCCCATGACGAATTAAATTTCTAGTTATGATTTTAAGTTTTCCTGAGTAATGAGGGTGGTTTTTTTTAACTAATGATATTTCAATGTAATCTAACAACAGTTTGATTCTGAATAAAACCAGAAATTGGTTTGACATTTAAATATTTGTTAACTCTCGCCCAATTTCCCCGCATTTTGTCAAGTTTTTCAAAGATAATTAAACGTATTGTTAATAACAGATTGTGTGATTTTTTTTTTACCAGGAAGGACCTCCTTAATCCAATTCAGATTGGGTTCAAGAAATCATATTCAACTGAGCTTGCACTTGTACAATTGCATGACAGAGTGTAGAATGTCTTGGCTGATCGTACGTCATTGGCGTATTTATGGAAGGCATTCGACACTCTTGATCACTCTTTTATTTTGATGATACTACAGTGTTTTGGTATTAGAGGAAAAGCCTTAAAAAAGAGCTACTTGTCGAACAGGAAACAGTGTGATGTAATCATGTTGATTCTGAAATATGGAGTTCTACAGGGCTCAATATTTTGCTAGTTCCTGATTTTTTAGTTTATATCAATGATATATTTTAGTTCGTGCTGATGACACAGATGTATTTCTCTCTCAATCAAACGTTAATATTCTCATCGACACTCTGAACTCAGAACTGCCAAAACTTGCCTAATGGCTTTAATGAATGTATTATACTTTCTTTCAATCTTAAAAAAGCAAACCATATATATTTTTTTAGGCTTTACCTCTATTTCAGAGCTCATAATAAATCAGTACATTTTGATATACCATTGAAAATAGATGATACTGTGATCGAACAGAAGACCGCTACTAAATTCCTTGGAGTATATATATATATATATATATTGACGAACTTTAAAATTGGTCTGACCATGCCAAAAGTATAACCAAACCCATTTCACGCAATGTTGGTGTTCTGTCTAATTTAAATTACATGTATTACATAGCATTAAACCTATCATCCATACTCCATAATACTATATAACGTTAATATCGTATATAATATGTTGTAATATAATATGGGTGAACTCACAGTGTCTTAACGACTCAATTTTAGACATCCAAAAAAGGCGATACGATTTATACTGTTTCTCGCCAGAGAAATCAGAGCGCCCCCTTGTTTTTGAAATTGAATACCCTCAAAATTTCGGATATATCCCAAAACCGCTACGGCATATAAAAAGAGTATACATAGTAGCCCGGACAAAGGGAAATTTCTGCCTTTGGATCAAATTATTATTAACTTAAAGTTTGCATTGAAAAGAAAGCTGCTCTCCCAATACACAGTGTATATCATATATTTTTTGTTTGTCTGCTGATCAACGATATGTGCAGTCATCTGTAACTGCTCTTCTTTTCATCCCTCTTTCTCTCTTTCTTTCACTCTTTAGTCTCTACCTGTTATTCGTCTCTTCTCTTTGCTGTACTTCTGCATCACCAGCAACTCTCTAATTCCTTTTTTTGTGCTTACACTTAATTGTCAGGGCTCACAGGGCATCAATCTTTGCTCATCTTGAAGCCCTTGCCAGTTCTGTTTAAAATGACTTCATATTTCTCCATGTATGTTTCAATGTATAATGATTTTATTATGTAATCAGAACTGCCACAAATGAAATTAAAATGAAATGAAATTATTGAATACAATAAATTGCATGAATATAAAACATTCATAACGGTACTTTAAATAACATAGCCTCAGTTATGAAAGGCACTTTTTACATTTGGTAATCTGACGCTATCTTTTATAGGTAACTGAAGATATTGCCGTGTAATATAAAGTGCGTGATAAACTTGGCAAAGACCAACTTAACCTATGACCCCCTCACTTGACTGTTTAATATTAAACAAATACAATAAACCTTTGGTCTCATAGAGATTGCCTAAGTAAATAGAATAACTGAAGTGGGAACCTAATTTACGGTGAGTTTATTCCCTTCACCGTGAAAGAGAAACATAATGTGTTCTTTCACACCGCATTTACTAAATAATATGTCCAGTATATAGCGCAGTTACTATTAAATATGACTATACTTTACAGCGCTTGTACGCAAAGCATCTATGGTAAATAATTCAATGATTTTTTTCTTCTTCAATTTATGAAGTTCATCAGGCGTGGCATTTTATATTTTTACTTCACATGGAAGGAGACCGGCAAATCAACATTTTACTTTTTAAACCTTGAATAAAGTCACCTCGAATGACAATTGACAGAGTTAATTATGATGTCGAATTCATTTTTTTTTTTTAAATCGAAACTAAATATATTTCAATGTTAGATGAAAGAAATCAAACTTCACTTCAATATAGAATCATTACATTTGTACACTTACAATTCTAGTTGAATTATCTCGAATATAGCATGAAAATAATGGTACACTTCAGGGGGTATATTTTTCATCAACCTGTCCTACTTGCATGGAAAAAAGATTTTAAAAAGACAAATGGCCATTCACTATTGACTTAAGAACTGGTTCTAGTTCAGTAGACGTGATATATACAATAGCATTAATGACTTTGAAGAACTTTAGAGCACTGCAGTCTACGCAGAGTTTAGATTTGTTACATAATTGTACTGTAATACCTTTTGATTTATCTAGTAAATGGATGTAATGAAGAAAAACAAAATATATACATGAGAATGTTTCAATAGTATGCGACTGAAATGTTGGACTTTCAAATAAAAATAAATATAATGATAAATTTACGACTGTTTATCCACTGTTCAATTAACATTGACTTAACATCTGGGTCAAGTTTATTAGACGTGATATCTCCAATCATAGTATTAATGAAATTAAAGAACTTTAGAACACTTTACTCTACATAATTATAGTTTTACATCATTTTTAACATACTTTTAAGCTTTTGAGTACTTCAATAACTCTTTATTTCTCTAGTAACTGCCGTGCAATGAAAATATATATTTATACATTTACGTTTAATATCGAGCGAGTTAAATCCGACTTATAAATAAAAAATTCGAGATAACAAATGTAATTTAGTAATGTTCAACTTGGCCAAGTTCAGTGGGCGTGATATCTTTAATAGTTTTGATGACTTTGAATAATTTAAGAGGACCTACTGTAGTCTATATTAAGTTTTAGTTTTTACATATTTGTATATCTAAATACTTCTTTAATTATCTACAAACTGCCATGCAATGAAAATGTATATTTACGTTAATGTTTAATATCAAACGATTGTAAGTTGACTATGAAACAATAATCCTATCAGGCGTATAGTGAACATTTTCGGCATTGATTTTGAAATTCAGTTCATATTGATAGCTGCAATTACAGCATGATGGATATACGTCGATAGTCCGTTTTTGGTGTGGCACACTGTAGGCATGTAGTAGCAACACGGGCGCATTGAAGGCAAGCCACTTCATGGTTGCAGGGACGCAATATGGTCGCTACATCCTGCTTATTACAGACCTTACACATGACCTTCTTTGGACCGACATCCATCAGGTATCTAGTACTTGATGTAGTCGATGAGAATTCTGTGATTTCGATATAAAAGATGCTTGATGTTAACCTAGTCTCTACGATTACCATTATTCATTGCTACACCAATGGAATTTACTTTTATAGACTATAATATCAGTTAACGCCTTTCTGGCTCGTATAAGACTAAGAGGATTTTAGTTTTCCTACTTTTAAAGAAACAGGAGGGCTAAAGATCTATACAAAAAGACAGTGTCGGAAAGTGAACAGGGCGATATTGTTTTGTTTGCTCACAATATCGTTTCTCGTTGTGATTTCAATATGTAATTTCTTAAAGAAACTAAAATGTAAAGCTTCACAGATCTTCCCTTTAACGCAAACACATTTGCGAATGATTTCTGTTTTGTCCACCAAATTATATCATGCATCCTATAGACTGGAATTGTCCATTTTAAGCAGAAGCTCCCAAACTTCTATCTCTCTCTCTCTCTCTCCTTTCCACCTTCCTCTTTTGCTCTCTACCCCTCAATTCATCTCCCCTTCCCTCCCCATTTACCTAATAGCTAATACTTACATTTGTGTTTCTAAGATTTTGCAGTGGCGAAGCTCTTTTGACCAGACTTTGGTGATTCTTCTTGTCTTGAGTCACTGTTTATCTCAAGATTAGCAAACCTTTGCGTCTATATAGGTAGTGAAAAAAATACAAACCAAGATAGGAATACAAATTTACTGGATAGTTCAAGATGACTTCAAAATATGAACAAATGTTAGACTGTAGCTTAGTTATTTTGAAGAATAAAAACCTGTATTTATTTCGTCTTGTTTTTCTTATCTGTGAAGTAATGGAAAATACGGTTCTTGGAGGAATTGTCTTTATAAGTGATGCTTAAGTATGTATTATCGCATTTTTCATCTCTTTATTCATATAATTTTCCAAAGATACAAATCTTGAAATATATTAGAATTCGTTCTTTGAGAAATTATCATTGGGGGTGGTGTTTTGATATAGTATTGTTGGATTTTCGATCTCTATATTCATATTTGCTGCAAAGGTTACATCTATTCAATTTATGAAGTTCATCAGGAGTGGCATTTTATATTTTTACTATTATGGTTTGTATTTACGCCGCATGTGATCAATGGTCACCATATATAGCTTCACGATTCACTTGGTGATATTTCAGTAATGCAGCTTATAATTTCCCCCATCAATATCACTTCACCAATTATGGTATGGTTTAATTGAATCAGCTCTGCCCCCAATCCCATAGTATGCCTCAAATCTTTACAATCAACCAATCACCATAGCAAAATGCAACATTGTAGCCTTACCACATTGATTTTCCAGGGGCTGTTCTCATACTGAATTAAAAGAGATTTAGTGCTTACGAAACGATTTTATTTACATTCCGAACCTGTGTATCAATGGTGCTTGCTGAAGATTGCAATGATTTATCATTGGCTGTGTTCTTCTGTTCCGCCGCCTCTAAAATTTTGATGAAGTTGTCCGAAGTCGAGAAGTTTAGGTCCGTTTCATGTAATTGTTCCTCGATGATACGACACACTAGCGCCGCGTCGAATTTACTCTTCAGGATCATTTTGACAGTCGGGCTGTCCATTATCTCGACCAATTTCTTAGCAGAAACTGTGTACAAAATATAATTTATATTGGTGAAGTATGGCAAGGAAATCTCTATGTTCTTCATGATGGCTGTAGAGTTATGGTGAGGGACACCATCTGCATAACTTAAATTTATTTCTATGAAAATACGATGAGAGATGCATAATTGGTGTGGTGACAAAACCTCGTATCTCAAAAATCATGAATTTTCAGGAGAGCGAAAAAACTTTCCTGTCTTAACAAATTTAGTGCTGTGACACCGTCCTTTCTTTTTAAAACGGGAATATTTATATAATTTTTAATGTCATTGTTGAAATACATTAAAATAATTGTTTTTATATTTGAAAGTGAGTCACGAGGTTTTTTTGCGTTTGTCTACATTGAGAGTTTTTAGTTTTTATTCAAATTGAGATACGAGTTCTTACTTTCAATTCTGAATGAGTTACGAGGATTTGGTTGAATAAGTTACGATTTGTATACACTAACTTCGGTACTGTTAGGCCGTGTGTGAGTTACGAGGAAAAGGAATTACGTATCTTATGTTACATGGTTTTGTCAGTGCAGCTTCAAAGGGGGTTAAAGTTACGAGGTTTAGTTTAAGGGTGTTTGTGTGGAATTTGTGAAAAAACCGAGAAGGAGGCGTGCCATGGATTTATCAGGTGGTGTCGTAGGCCATTAGGTACACAATTATGAAGAAAAAAAATCAAAATCTCAAAAAATTGAGATACGAGGGTTTTGTCACCCCACTGACGATTACGTTAAAATAAGTTGTGCGTGTGTGACGAGTAGAGAATAGGGACTTTTATATTCGCATGTCGACATAGTGAACTGCTACGTGCGACATCCTTTTAAGGCAATGTGACGTCCTTTTAAGGCACTGGCAGTGCCCGACCGTGTCTATAAATGACGTCGCATCGCCTTAAAAAGATGCCACATGTAGCAGTCCACATTCTCGTTGTGCAAATCTCAAAGTCCCTAGTTACGCTAAGGACATTACGGAATGATGAGCTTGTTTTAGAGCTCAAATCCAATGAAGCCTAAAATTAGTTCCCTATCTCAGAGATTTCATAATAGAGGAAGATATTGTTAAAACTCCAAATAAATTAATCTGAGAGTGTATGCCCACGTTTGTCACAACCATTTCTTTGAAGACGCTCTGATTCAGGCTTCAGAATACTCACCTTTGGTATCCTTCTCTGACTCGCCTGCTTCTGAAGCTGGTGTCTTCTGATGATCTGCTGGTGAGGACTGGGTAGAAACAGCTGGGCTCTGTTTAGATTCTCTCTTCTCTGCCTCCTCACTCGCTTTTGCTTTCTTAAAGAAATCCTTAAAATAAAATAAGATAAGTTGCATGAGACTAATGGTACATGATGTCGATGCATTATTGTAGAGCGCTTAGAGACTTCTGACAAAGTAAGTGTTAGGCGCTATATAAGCACTGTAATTATTATTATTATTATTATTATTCCTCGACTAAAACTATTTGAGGGAAGTAAAAGCGAATATCAAAACCCTTAGCTGATTTACGTTCTATCGCTGTATGATAACATAACCATGATCTTCATTCTCACCTGTACTTCATCAACGAAAGCTTTCCCTTTCATTTCTATCAGCCACTCGCACTTAGGAAAGTTCCTGGCATGCTCGCTCCAGGGCTCGTCATCCTCTTCCCAGTTCTCAATGCCACCATTACAGTAGAAACATCTGGCCCTGTCACCAGGACCTATAAGGTGGAGGAATGGTGAGAATGTGTGTTAGCACGGAGGAGTCAGAGACGGAGAAGAGGGGAATGGGAGATAGTAAGATGGGAGGGGGGGGGGGGGGACTTACCGTCAAATGCCTTTGTCAGATATGCATAAAACATTGCTCACCTGCATGAACAAGGCTATCTTGCAAGTTTCACAATTCACTCTCTGTGTAGTTGTACCGTAGCTGCCCAATGTGCAAAAAAGTTAAATGCAAACCACCATTTCCCCAATCAAGATAGTGTAACCCTTTTACATTTATGCTTAATTTTTGGAGTGATATTTTAGTCGCTCCTTTAATAGGCCTAACGCCGACGTTCCATGTTATCAATGCATTTAACCGCTTCCAGATGATTAGTTTACAAGAATATTAGATCTGCAGAATATTATCATGAATATTTGTATTTTTAAAATATAAAAGTGTTCATCAAACTAATTTCATTCATTTAAAACAATAAATTGTTATATACGTCTTACCTGTGAACGAAAATCCAGCGTTAGCCAGCCATTTTGTTTCAGAATGAGACAGTTTGCATTCGTCTGGCCAATCGCGGAACGTGTCTTCCCGTCTTAATTCATCATCAAATAGTGGAGCATGGGCACTTGTCAACTTCCCAGTAAAAGATGTTCCACAATAGGCATCTACATAGTCTTTAGAGGTCATCAGATCATGGGTTTTACTGATGCATAAGACGGCTTGTCCGTCCGCCTCAGTCCGCGAGGTATCAGTCTTTAGGCTTTCCTTCATTTCATTCCACCTTTCAATCGTGAAATTTTTCTTCTCCTGGTTCTTCACCATATCACAATGCGGATACATTGTTTTATGTACTTCCGCTACAATGTCCCCTTCTTTCCACCCCTCAATTTGGCCTCCGCACGAAAAGCATTCCACTCTGTCAAATATCCCGACGTAGCGGAATCCTGCCTCTGCAAGTGAGCCTGGTGTTACTGGACATTTTTTCCGCCAGGTTTTAAACGTTTTAATTCTTTCTACTTCAAACCTCATTTTGGATAGGTCATGTCTTAACTGAAATTTGCCGCGCACTTTAATGCGAGTCTCCTTATTATTCGTGGCCATTTTGAATATCAGTCGCAAAAGCCTTTCAGTTAAACTCTATGATCCTGTTCCAATATGTTCTGCATTTGATTGGGCTGCGTGTCAGCAAATCTGTTCAAACAGGAAATGCCTATATATCCCATAGATTAATAACTCAAAAGCATCTTGGCACCTGCAAGGTGAGAAAATGAAGACAAAAAAAAATAGACATTTTATTTTACGAAGTTAGCCATGAAAGTTATAACTACAATGTAATGTATAGTATATCAACAATTGGTACAAAATCTTCCACAGAAATATATTTAAACATTCCAATATTGAAATGAAAAATAATTTTTATCAGTATTGAAATGAATTATGAATTCATTATTAAAGCCTAGCATAACTAAAACAGTACTAGAAATGAGATTTTTTTTCACCTATTGCGTTATTGTTTTTGATTGATTGATACATTTTATTTCAAATTTAGTAAAAAAAACCCACAAAAAACAGGTTATAAACATTTACAATGTACATATAAAATCGACTTATATATGTGAAACAAAGTAATAACATTTAAATACAAATAGTTGGAAAAATAAATAGGGTGTATTAGTAAAAGCCTATGTGGCTTGACAAGTTGATACACCCATTACAAAGAATGAAAAACATTATATAAATTTCAGGTAGCTGACGGTTACGTACTAAATTATATTTAACTTAAACATACTGGGACAGTAAATAGCGCCTGTACTTATTTTTAAAAGAATTTCCAAATTGATTATTAAGGGGGATAATGTATTCCATATAGTGGGACTAACGAACCGAATAGACTTAAAAAGAGAGTGAGATGTGACCTTCGATTGATGGAATAACTGGTTGTGTCTAGTATAAATAATTGTGGACATGGACATTTAAAGAAAACATATTCATTAAGTATTCCGGTAATGTATCTAAAGAGTAACGATGCATATTAAAGTATACCCATTTTTAATCTATTAATATAAAAACGTTTAACGTTTTAAATTTGTAAAAAAAATTGGTTGTGATGGGGCCAGATAATCTGGATTTGAGCAATGCGTAATGCCTTTTTTTTAAGACGGTGTAATTTAATTAATTTTGAAGGATAAGGATTAGCCCAGACAATATTATTATTATTCCAATCTTCAAACCTTAAAAGTGTAGAATCATTAACGCTGATATTATCAGGCATGTTGAAATAACGTAAAATCAATCAGTAAGGATAATTCTAACACAGATAATCATATAATGACTTGCTTTTTCATGAAAACAAATCTCTTGAAATCACAACATCATTATTTTGCCTCGTTTCGTAAACACATATTCATGGTTCATAAAAATGCACTGAAAGATTATCCTTGGTGACAAAGGTTGCCCACACAGTCAGAAAGCAAACACTCGAAACACGCAAGCAATTAATATAAATAATAAATCTTAGTTATTATGTTTGACGTTATATTATGTTGCATGGAGGATGTCACTAGGAATGGGGTGGGGTGGGGATAAGCCACTTCCCTTCATCTCAGAACATAATGTCGGCACAACAAATCATAGCAGTTTCCATTTTTAAAGTTTTCGTTACCTCATTCGGTGAATCCGCAAATCTGGGGACCTTTTCTGATCAAACAAATGTTTTAGTAAATCTGGGCCTTACAACACTCGTTCCTTTGCAAAATGTTCTTTCAATGCCTCTGCTTTTTTGCACCAGGGATTGGCAAGAAGAAGTCTACCCTAGCCTGGAAATATGTCAAAAATAATAATGATGCAATCATGTTAGAAAATGCATGAACATAGCCAGTGGCCATGTGTGTGTGTGTGTGTGTGGGGGGGGGGATAATGCATCAGGAGTAGAACATTCCAACTCAGAATATGTTATGTTAATTACCAAGCTTCCCCTTTTTTTACCTTCTTAAAGGTAATACAAAGTTTTGGTATGGGGGTAATGAATTTGGTTCAAAATAACATTTTGGAAGCATATGGGATCCTACAATATTTAGTGATCGTTGTCGCGGTTGAAATCGAGTCTAAAGTTATGAAATTGTAAATAATAAACTCTTTATGTTGTATAGCTCCCTCTTAGAGTCAAGATATTAATTAAGCTATGAAACAATGTTTCTTGACTAAAATAGACTGATAGGCTATTCCCTTCTGAAAATTATGTATCACAACTACATATTCTGGAATTTTCATGATCGCAGCTACCATTGTATAGCCGAAGGCGCTATTTGATATTTATCAAAATTTACTGGGAGCACCGGTAATTTTTTATATTCCATTTCTCTCGAAAGCAGAAGTGTGTTTTAGGGGTTAAATTTTCTAGTGCTTATAATACATCCACAGGGGCATCCAAATATATCAAAATTGTGAAGAATCACTATCCAGCCAATTTTCAATATTTCCCAAAACTTTGTATTACCTTTAACCTGTCCTTTCCCTTTCATTCCCAATGAGGAGTGGGGCACTCTCTCTCTCTCTCTCTCTCTCTCTCTCTCTCTCTCTCTCTCGGGAACTGCTATTATGCCGATTGGGGGAGGGTGTGGAAGGAGCCTCAGTTAGCTAGGCCACTGCAACTTTTCCGTCAACATAAATAATATTTCAATTCACCTTTAACTCAAAAAAAATTAATTTCGTTTTGTTACTTTCCATGAATGTGATATAAAAGTAACATAATTTCTAACTTTTGTTTGATCATGAATGTATAACAGACTAAGAATCGAATTGTTCTCTATAGGCGTATCTACATGATCTTGGTTAATTATGATGATAGTGCATTTATAAGGGTAGAATCGAGTTACATCAACACGGCCGAAATAAAAAACGACACCATTTTTTATCCTAAAAACGGAGAAAAAAGCTAGATAAGCTTTAAGAGAAGGTTGAGTTCTGAGCAGAGGTGAACAATAATTTGTGAGCATTTTCATTGATATTGTGCGGGTGTGGAAAAAATGTTCCCTGAAAAGCATGGCTCTTCAAATGCCTTAATATTCTTAAAATTACATGTAACCAGGAGGGGGTGGGGGGGGGGGTCGGGGGGATACGTCTCCTCATTTTTTTAAAGGATCGTCCCCCCCCCCCCCTTATTCGGAAAATTTGAAAAATAGCAAACAAAAATGTATAGTAAATACTGACTAAAGACTGCAACACACTTTTAGGCTCAAGAGTGCAGCGTTTAGACTAATAAAAAATGCAAAAATCATCTCGCTCGGTCGCTACGCTCGCTCGCATACTAATCTTCAAAATGTACAAGCAAATATAGCAGAAAATCTGTATTCCGTTGGTATCACCGTGATACCAACGGAATACCGATTTTTCCTCGCATTTCGTCCCCCCCCCCCCCCAACTCGGTCATGAAAAGAAATCGCCGCCCCTCCATGAAACAGCTCAAAAAAGAGGACCCCATTTGTATGCCACATGTACAGTGCCTGTTACTTCTACCGAGACTGCAGTGGGCCAAAGTTCCTATCGGTGTGATGATTCCAGAACCTTGCAGTACACATAAATACTTATAATGCTACATGATAAACATTTTCTAATCGATTCCACATCGTTTCTTTCACAATGCAATCGCATGACCAGAACTCAACTTTATCTTTAAAACACTCAAACAAATATTGCAAACAAACTTCATAACCTTTAAAACTCCTTCCCATTTACGCCCAGTCATATATCGTCATGGTTGTTGTTTACCTTCACCTTCACCTTTCACCTTTCAAAGGGAGTTTTCATTCAGGCATTGCGCAATACTGTGCACATCACATGACACGAGTCTGGTCTTTATGACACTTGAGATTAGATTCAATATTTGTCTTTCGTTTATTATCATGAATAGATAGAAGCAAACATGACGCAAGCAGAATATAAGAGGGGAATTACTGCCTTATTATACTGTGCAGATCAATCATTCTAAAAGTGATAATAACGATGATTTTAATTATAATGATAATGGCAATAATAATAATAATCATAATAATAATGATCCTATTCATAATAATGATAATAAGTATAGTAATATGCATAAATATCATAATATCGATTATTTAGGATCGCTCAAAACTAAAAGTACAATGATAGCGCTCAAAAGATTACAGAAAAGAGAAACATTAGACTCATAAAATGGGTTAATCATATTATCTGAATGTATTACTGAGCGAAGGCTAATCTTTAAAAGCCTACTGTACTTCCTAAAGTTACTTGCTCCCTCTATATAGAAAACAATGCCTAATCGGGGTCTGTTGGTCCCCCATGATCCTCTTTTCTTATGTTAATTGAGAGCTGAGTTGACTACATAGCCACCTGTCAGTGACCTCGCTGGGTGGTCTAATCCCTCATGTCCAAACTAGTACAGACGCGAGCTAAAGGGATCTTTAAAAAGTTACAAAACAGGTTAATTCTCTGATGGAAAGTTCGATATTGTTCTACGTTTTCGAAGCAGCCACGGTTTTTCTTAAGATGATAGTCTGGATTTCGGAACAATTATCTTTCATACCATATTTCTTATATTATAATTCTTTCCATTTCATTTTCATTTGTTCATTCATTACCATCTTCATATAAAAAATAGATCATTACAACAATATACATTACATAAAAAATTACATGCAATCATACAAGTTAACAGTTACTAGACGAAAATGAGAAAAGGGGAACCATAAGGCCAAAGGGCCTCGTAAAATAAGTTCGCTAAAAGTATAAATTATTATTTGGTTTTTCAACTTATTCTGTTACTGAAAGACGTGTAAACAAATTAAAAAACAAACCGTGGATAAAAAAAAAAAACAACAACCAAAAAAAAAAGCCAGAGGAACAGCAAAGTCTAAAATATGGTTATGTTTTATGTCAGTATTTGGACAAATAATAAATGTTAAGACATTTTTTCAATAGTCTTTGGTTATTGCAAAGGGGAATATATTTTGGTAATGAATTCCAAATCACCGGGAGATTCAACCGATGAGATTTGGCTTCATACATAAACACAATTTTCCAACGATGAAAATTGGTTCGATTTATTGTGTTATGATTATGAATACTGAGATTCGTAGGGTACATGTTCGAAATAGTATTTGGAAGAAGATTATGAAAATAAAGGAACCGTAGCACTGATGTAGGGTACTGGTATAAATCAAATATATTCAAGGTTTTGAGCTTGATAAAAAGAGGTGCGGAATGAGCAAAGAAATGGCTACTGGTACAAATACGCAGTACCGTGCTTTTTCAGTAAATTTAATTAAGATGTTCATTTTTAGTTTGCCACATTTTATTCTATTTCTATTATATCCATTGTCTTTTTTCTTTTTATATTGTATTCTATTAATACAATGTTCTATATTTGAAAATAATGAATGTTTCAAGCTCCCCGCATAGTTATATTTATATGTTTTTGACATAAACAATCTTATTTTACTCATTAAATATCACTAAACAATTTGCACGTCCCCTATATGCTACTGGGAAATTACCTGTCTTTCTAAAATTACACTAATGTAATATGGTCCGACTTGAGCTATGTATGCTTCGTTTTCACTAATAAAAGGGTCAAACTTACAATGCAAAATTATTTTTTAGGTTTTTATTGGCATCAAAACAACGCTTGTATAAATAAATTCATTTTTCTGCTTAATTAAAAAAAACAGATATCACTTTTGGAGAAATAAAGCCATCAAATCGTTTTATGATATGGAACAATATATTGCAGGAACAAATTTTATTTAAACAAATCCTGAAAACATTGTTTCTTAATACCAAATGTGTTTGAGTATTTTTGGAATACATTTGGAATACATATTGTATTTTGGTATAATTATATTGATAATATACATGTATGTGCTGCTGTACGGCCCAGATGATATGTTTATGACGAAAAATACTCGACATTACTATCTTTTATATAGTTCTTTATTGCTTATATAAAGGAAGCCTGTGGAAGGGTACATATAATTATTGAAAAACAATAGTTACACCAAATGTGTAGATACACAAAATGGCTACAAAAGCAAACAACCCTTTTTAAGAAATGAAATTCAAATTCAGAATAGCTTTTGCAACTGCAAATTATACAAAAGATGGGTAATTGGGGAATAATTCAGATGTTTCCTAAACTGTATACACAAATAAAAGACCATTTTACTCACTTTCTAAAACCTCAATATTGTTTTGTTAATAAATTCAGTAGCCAGGTCATTCTGCATGATATTGATTTTTAGTTTTTTCCAATGATTAAAAGTAAAATAATTTTTTAACCAAACAAAAACATACCAAAAAACAAAGAACCAAATAAAGTAGCTAAATGTTTTATTAATGTTAAATATCTGACCTTCAATTTCAGATTTCTACATGGATGACTAAATTCACCATTAAGAAGCCAAGATATATATTTAGCATTTGTAGTCTCCAGGCCAATTTAAATTTAATATTTTGTTTATCCAAGAGTCGGTGCGAGACTTTAATATGTACAATGAACTCATTGAATCCTCTATGTTTTGGCACAAATCGTGGAATATCTACGAATTTTCTTTTTATGTCTCTAGTTCCTGGTTGTTAAGTCATAAATTTATGTGGCTTATACTTTTAAACGAGTAAATCATTAATAAATAGTGTCAAACTTAAATAACACATCTATGTATGATAGAAAACGGAACTGTGTTTAGAACGACCTATCGGACGATAGTACTGACAATTAGCATTACTCTCTATGAACAGGAATGGAAATCCACTCTTTCGATCAATTTCATATAAATTGACATTCATGCATCAACCGTGTTAACGAAAAAGTCGAAACTACTCTCAAAAGACATTGTTCAACGTCTACTTTAGAGTCTAATTTGGATTGGATTTAACTCCAAAGGAAGAGATCTCTAGTAACTACGATTCCTAAAGAGTGAATTTATACTCTTCTGCATTAAGAATGACAGACGAAATTGCTGTATCGCCCTACTATAAACGGAAACATTGAGGTTTAGATTCAAACGTTTTAAAAAGACCTCAATGATTGTCCAATGATACTGGCGTTTGTAGGAATCTGACAGCATAGCCACGTCTAAAATATTTCCCGCACCAAATTTCACGCCCCGCACTTGGACGTGACTTTAGACACATTTTATAGGAACATCTGCGAAGTTCCTGAGAACATATTAATGAGTTTAACATTCATAGCACATGGCACGACAACATAAACATATTTTTTTACAAAAATATATCAACATTAGATCATAATTCTTACCATTCACATGGAAGCGATGTCCCTTCCTGCAGAATGTACTCATGGGAAAGAAAGAACGTATGAGAAGGTCGTCTCGTTTGAATCCAGTCCACCAAGGTTCACAGTCCAAAATCAAAGTTACGTGGGACCGTATTAAGTGTGTGCCGACCCTATGATATCATGCCTATTAAAGGTGACATAGAGGTAACATTACTTCTTAGGAGTACTTTGCATTATATTCATGTCCATAAAGCTCACTTCGAAATTTTACTTTTAATTTTCAAAAGATCTTTTTTTTCTTCAGACCCAAACAGATAATCATGTCGACAAGTTCGATTACGCTCAAATACCTTAAATCCCTTCAAAACTTTTACTTGAATTATATGATGATGTGAAAGAGGATGTCTTTTAACATACGTATCTACAATAATTTTTTAACAAATATGTTTGAAGACGAATATTGATGACAAAATACAAGTATCTTGGATTTCTGCGTACAACAAAAACATAAAGTTTTGTATACTTTCATCAAATATTGGCCTTAAAATGTATGTATTTTGAAAATCCTTGCAGGAATGTTTGTTAAATGACATCCTCTTTCACATGTTTAACAAATTTAAGTGAAATTTTGCCAACACTTTATAGAGGGCATTAATTCTCCCATATTTGTGTGCTTCCTTTACCTACTATATATTACAAGATCTCTTTCTATCCCCACCCACACACATGCACGCAAACCCTCACGCCCAGACCCCTAGACACACACACACACACACACACACACAAACACACACACACCCTCACACAAACACACACACACGCACACACACGCCCACACACACACACGCCCACACACTTACACTCTCTTTACCTATTTTCCTTTTATTTTTTCTTTTGTCTCCTGCTGTTCATATTGACAAAGTGATGATTCGTTTCGCTTTTCTTCAATACACCTAGCTCTTGTCTAACTCTTGCACCACCACTTCCTCTCTCTCTCTCTCTCCCTCTCTTCTCTCTCAATGGGTGATTTGCGTCCCCGTTTCCTTTTTCTTTAATGCTCCTATCTCTCGCCCAAAGTCTTTTTTACTTCATCATCGTCACACCATTATCATCATCATCACTATCTCCATCATCATCATCTTATTCTTGTTCATTCCATCTCTCTTTCTTAATCTCCTTCTCTGTCTACCCTCTGTCAACTTGTTTTATTTCTCCTCTTTTTTAAATCTATAACTGTTCTCTTTTTAATCGAATAGTTACAAATCTTGATCTGTTAAAAGATCACGTGGTTGATATTTACATTTACCTGAACAATGGCGAATTTTGAACCTCTAGGTCATCGAATATTGAGGTGTACAAATAATCATCGTTCAAACTCCAAACGAGTTTAATATATCAAACCTGGCAAGATGCCAAATGTGTTCATCTTAGTCGGGTAGGGGGCAGTGGTATCTTAATCACAGTTATCTATTAACGTTTTTCTTCATGAAGTTGAATATTGGTTATTTATTTATTTCATGTTAAGTACATTTCCCAGATGAGGTCATAGTTTACATTTTCTTGCTTCCACTTTTCGCGAACATCCTATTGTCTCTCGTTTTGCTATGCATGCTGTAGCTTTTGAAGAACTGTAATCATAACAAAGTTAAAAGGAAAGGATAATATTCATCCAGACTATTAATGATGTTTAAATAAATAAATTGATATGGATGAAAAGGATAAACTTTTTCTACTCAAACCTTTCAAAATGACCATGACCTTTCACTTTGCTGCAATAAAACATAGTGCATAGACAGGTCATAAAGTCGTGATAAATCTTTATTTAAGTTATTCCATTAACCATTCATATCATGTCTTTTCTTATTACAAAGATGCTTATGACTTTTTACATTTAAGCGGATCTAGCTGATATCTTTTAGGCAGCAAGTAAGGAATCAATTGATTATGTTTTCTATGAATAAACATTGATTCAAATGTAATTTATGGTACAATGATTATAATTTGTAATCGATATAAAATACGTTCATAAATGTTTCCAGATATAAAACCTTCAAACAAAGACATGATATAATATGATAGATAAAATAGAAATATAAAGCATTACAACATTAAGTATTTCAATACATGTAAAGCCTTTGTTTTTAAATTATAACAGGTAAGGATATATCGAGCAGCGATACCTACAGTTTATCTTAAAATGTAGGCATAGAGAATAGTATTACTAATAATATATATGCGTAAAGTAAAAGTAGTGAATTTATACGAGGCAAACAAATACACGTATATACACAATTTAACAAAATATTTGAAGAAATAGATATTGTTGTTAAACACGCCTTAACCATTTCATTTACACTAACTATTAATTTTAAAAAGTACTAAAATAGCTGGCCTTTATTAATTTAGATAGACCTTTCAAAATATCGTTTCATTTAGGAATAATTGCTTACGCTAAAGAAATATGAAGCAAAATATATATGGCCCGACTTAAATATGGCTAGCCTAAATCACAGACACCCCAACATTTTTGTAATTTTTGTATTTTATTGATAATTTCAATGTGGCGAAATCTTTAATTAAAAATTGAAATAATGTAAATTAATAATATTCCCCCAAATGGGACATCAAGTAAAGATTCGTGTCATTCCTTTAATTAATTGGGGTACTTAACTATTTGCAATACAATGTAGTAATAACATCGACGTTGGCGTACGCGTAGAAAGGTAAGCGTCAAGTACAGTTATCTCTGTTTTCCGGGGGGGGGGGGTTGAAGCTTTATGTGTTCGCTATATGCTACATTAAACACGTACTTTTTTGTTCTCTTCCGTAGTTATGACATCACAGTTCATGTATGCAGTGGTCGGTGTAATGGTCACTCCCAAAAATGGATTTTCTTAACACGTTTCTTCATGTTTGAGGTACAAGTTTACTAAGTTAATGTATTGATCCAATTACATGTTTCCATACATCATATTTATGAATGAAAATCTTTATTGCTATCGACACAGTAATCACTAATTTATACATTTTATACATTTTTCGATCCAAGACGTTGTCTCATATATGCACAATTATTAACATGTAAAATAAATATTCATATCAATGCAATATCTAGTACAGTTCTTGTACCATTCTACTGCAGTTGATTTATGTTCATGTCCTCACCTTCGTTTTATAGACAAGATAATCGCATAACATTGTGTATACAAACATCTTAAAGGGAAAATGGGCCCTGTCCTCCCTTTTTTTTCCTTATACCCCAAAAGGATGTCTAAAAACTGGTAAAAGTTTACAGTCGCTTAAAGGGATAGTTGAGTTCTGTTTTCAGACCGCAAATGCCCCCCCCCCCCCCCAAAAAAAAAAAAAAAAAAAAAAAAAAAAAAAAACATGTGCATTGGCTGAAATACTACGTACAAGGCGTTATTTCGTTTTTTTCAACAGTTTTTTCAATTTTTTTCAAAATATTTAATATTTGTGGTGGTACACAAGTATTAGAATTCGTTATATTTCAGCCATCTCTGAACCGATTTTGATCAACCAAAGATGATTTTGTCATTTAAATATTATGTTCTTTCAAATTTGACACTCAGTTTTTCATTAACTCACAAAAAATGATAATATCAATATAACACCCATATCAAATGGATTGAGCATGCGCCTAACAGGCAGTCAGCTCTAGTTTCAGCTCCCGGATTTTCAACTTTGTGATCATTGTTTCGTCAAAAGTCGTGTTTTTACTGTTAACTACTAGATAAAGTGTATATCTGGGAAGCACCAGGACAAGTTTGGAATTGAATTTTACGCTTCCTGTTGTGATATTTCCTGGAAAACACTTCTTGATTTATGCTGTACTGGGTATGTACTGAAGCCATGTTCGTGTAGTGACTTTGCCGTGTATGTTGAGAAGGGGACAAGAGAACAATAGATGTGTCCCCCTCAGACAATAGAAGGGTAACATCATTCAAAAGCAAGGGGCACTGGCCAATACGCTCCGATGGAGATACACAAGTTAAGCGTACTACTAATCCTTCTCTTAAGTACTTGCCCCAGGCAAGCGCCTGTAACTGAATATGCTCATCGCTTTGAACCTGTACGGTGTCAAAGTAGTTTACACAGAGGGTACCACGGAGCCCGTATTCCCTACTACGCTAATTCATATGTCACATTTCAACTCTCGATAATATGTAGTGGAGATATAGAAGTCAATCCAGGACCCTCTACCGTTTCAGCGGATCAACATAGTTTTAGTCAATTATCTCCAACCAACTACCGATATAGCGTCAATGATTTGTATGATATTGGTGCCACCTGTAGCAGAAGCAGAGTCAATATTGACGATACCACATGGGACACGATCAAAGAATTAAAGATCGAGCGAAAACCATATAAGCCTATACACAGGGGTACTAGATCGGGTCGACGAAAAGCTTAACATCGCCTCCCGATACAAACAATCGTGAACCATTTTCCAAAGAAAACTATAAAACTAAGATCATGTAATCTATCCAACCTTATAAGAGTCCCAATACAAAGGGTTGATAACAGTCATGACAGATCTAGTTCAGAACTTCCATCGATTTTCCTTTGCAACGCAAGATCTGCCTGCAATAAATTTGATGAACTTACTGCGATCATACAAGATAATGATGTTGATGTGTGTGCTATTACTGAAACCTGGTACAAACATGATCTGCCACTTGAGTTGATCTCCATTCCAGGTTATTCCATCTTTGTCAAGTCAAGGGAGCATCGGAGTGGAGGAGGCGTAGCCCTGTACACCAAACACCATTTAAACGCAACCACACCCAACAACATCGAGGTGCCAGACAATTTAGAAGTTGTTTGGGCCAAATTGCGCCCTAATCGGCTGCCCCGATCTGTATCCTGTATATTTTGTGCTGCGGTCTATTTCTCCCAACCTGACAACACGGTCGAAGTACAACTGGTTGAACACCTCCTTGCAACCATTGACGACCTCATCACCCGCCATCCGGAAGCTGCAATCATCGTAACAGGTGACTTCAACCAAATGGATATTTCCCCTCTAACTGCTGATCCCCGTTTTGAACAAGTTGTAAGTCAACCGACAAGAGGAGCTA